GGGGCTCGATCCCAGGACCCTGGGATCATGACCTGAGCCGAAGGCAGATGCTTAACGACTGAGCCACCCAGGCGCCCCTATGGATTGCATTTAAATGTAAGCAGGATGTGGAAGAAGTGATGGTGTCAGACCACAGAGACAGGCTTCTCTTGCTCTCTCGGAGCATTTGCTCTGAAAGAAGTCAGCTGTCACACGAGAACACTCGAACTGCCCCATGGAGAGACATATATAGTGAGGAACTGATCAGCCACATGTGAGAGGCTGCAGGCAGGTCCCCCAGCTCCCATCAAGCCTTCAGATGATTTAAGCTCCAGCCAATATCTTGATTTTAATCTCAGAGATCCTGATTCAAAACTACCTCGCTAAGTCACTTTCAAGTTCCTGTCCTACAGAAATTATGAGATGATAAATGTTTATTGCTTTAAGCTACTAAGTCTTGGGGTAATTTGTTACACAGCCATAGAAATAAGTAATACAGTTAAACAGGCTGGGAGAGATGAACACTTCCTAAGTAAAGATATAAAAAAGTGACTGACAGAATTAGAGACAACTTGGTTCAATCAAAAATCAAAACTGAGTTCAATAAGTATGAGATTCTATTTTTAAGAAAATAAACCTGTCAAGACATTTAGGTAATTACTGGTTAGCCTCATGTATAAGAGGAAAAAAACACTAGGCTTCAGGGTGGATCATAAACTGCTTCGGACCAGGCACTTTCCTAGAAGGTCCGGTAAGATCTCGTTAGAATGGTATGCTCCATGGCTGTGCAAGGAACATGCACGACCGGATGCTGCTCCTCACGTGGGGCCTCGTAGTCTTTCTCAGTACTACAGGATTAGGTCCTTCCTGAGTGATATGCCCAGTTCTGCTCTATGTTTGAGAATTCATGGATGAAACAATTTTAGGGTAGACACAGGGAAGACCCTATGAAAGGGACAAACACGAAAACAAATTAACATGAAAAAAATGTGACAGTCTTTTTTTCTGAAAGTCTTTAAATAGAAGCTAGATAAATTTTTGGATTATTTGCTAAGACTACTGGGCGAGAAGACAGTAGCCAAGAGAGAAATGAGGAGATGGAGCAAACATCTGCCACCGAGATCCCCTTAGTGCAGCGTTCACTGATACAAGGTTTAAGGTTGTCTCCGATAGGGTCATTCCTGACACCAACAGACCCCCACAATTAGTTTCCCTGGTAAAATTCCTGATGCTTATTTGTATCTAAAACTAACCAGTCTGGAAGCACACTCCCGGCTGAAAATCTGGTCAAAGAGAAACCAGTGTATCCTTTACTTTGAAATGCTTTTTCCTCATCCGGTCATTGCCACCCACTCTTGAAGGCCATACTCAAAGTTCTACTGCACTGAGAAGGCCGCTTCAATGCTGGCAGCCACAGCCACCACAGTGACTTTCTTTTCTGTGCTCTGTCACATTCTCTACTGTCACCTCTGCACACTGCAGTCCATCATTACCTCTGTTTGTCTCGGTCTCCGCTAACAGACTGTGAGATCTTTTACTTGTCTTTGTTTTCCTCTGAACCTAGACAGTGTCTCATGCCTAACAGATATACTGATGTTTAAGACATCACTGTGTCTATCACCTCAAGTCCTGGCCATTGTCATCAGAAGCCACATCTTCCACGTGCACCTGGTCACACTCCTGTTAAAAAACAAAACCACACACTATTTCAGTCCAGGGAGTAGAAGTGCTACCACCACCACGACATATTGTAAAAAGACCAAAAATAACGGCAGATGAGGAAAATCCTTACAGTCTCTTATGTGTGGAGGATCACTCTCACCCCCCTGCTGTCCAACTTCTTTTAAGGCCTAATTCATGTCCCACGGTCTCATGAAGTCTTCCTTACCCAGCCCGACCCTCAGGTATACTCTTCTCTCAGTAGTCATGGGTATAACACAACAGCTCATGGGTATAAACACAAACTCCCTTACACTGTCAGGGATGTCTACGTCCTACACTAGACTGTGAAGTTCTGGTATAAACTGCAGCCCTCCTGTGGCACAACCTATGTCCTACAGCTCCCTTGTACCCCTCCAGTATAGTCCTTACGTAGCATGTGCTCTTACGTAGCATGTACCCAATACATTTTTGCAGATGAAACAGATGCTGGTAGAGTATGGTATCAAAATGGAGAATGACTGAAACAGAAACCTGTAAATCCAAACTTAGGAATTTGAAGTGGTCACCTAAGTTAATCTCCTCATGTTCTAAAAGTGAGGTGAAATGAATGACCCACGGTCACACAACTAGTGAGTGGTAGAAAGAAACTAGAAAGTGCCTGGGCCTTCCAATTTGAATCCAAGGTTCTTTCCACCAAGCCCATGCTACTACGAACTAAATGCCACCCACTACCTAAATCTGAGAGATTCACTCCTCTGACACCACCTAAGGCAATGTTGTGATGTCCACCTACATCAGAATCCCCTGGAGAAGTTTTTTAAAAATGTGTATTCTTGGGTCCACCCCAGACCTACTTGAATCAGAATTTCTGGGTGTGAAGTCCTAGAATCTTCATTTTTAACAAGCTCCCCAGGTGATTCTTATGCCCCCTAAAGTTGAGAACCACTGACCTGGGGGCAGGAACATATTCAGGTCAAATTCTTCACAGAACTTTCAGTCCTGAGTGAGGTCTATGTCTAGAAAATCATTACAAATACAATTTGGCAATAATTATTGGCACAAAGTAGGTTTTCAATAAATGTTTGCTGAGTAAAAACTATGATGTCCTAATGTATCAACATGTGAAGCTGAGGAAGAGTAAAGCATTGTGGAGGTTAGACAAAGGTACTGGAGTTTAGAGACCTGGTAATTCAATTTGTTGGAGAAACTGTCCATTGAGAAGAACTAGACTATATTTAAAAAGAAATAGGATTACTTTGTGTTTATAAAATGCTATCTTATTTTTAATTAATTTTATTTATTTTAAGTTATCTTTACACCCCATGTGGGGCTGGAACTCACAACCCTGAGATCAAGAGTCGCATGCTCTTCCGACTGAGCCAGCCAGGTGCCCCACTATTTTATTTTTTGACTTATAATTTTCACTGTTTTTAAAAACTAGGTTCTATAAGTAGTACACAGTTTGAAACTCAAAAGGGCATGAAGTGACAAGTCTGCTCCTTCCCACCTCTGTGTCCCAGCAACATATCCCCTTCCCCAGACAGAACTGTTACTAGTTTCTTGTGTAGGATAACTGCTTAACTGAGACCCAAAATGGGGAGGTAACTTTCCTAACCTGGAACTCACACTCTGGTCTTCTGACTTCCCAGTCTTGTGCTCTTGCCACTACACCAGGGTCACCTCAAAGGTGAACTCAAATGTCAAAGCCAAAAAATTCACCAAGAAGCTCTCAGTGTTCCTGGTTTTCCTTGCATCTAACTATACAATGATTCTGGACATCAAGGTTAACCTATACATGGATAATAAGCATGTATAAATTATAATGAGTTAGAGCAGCCATTTATAGATCTGACAAATCAAGAGATTATATTTTAAGAAGGTAAAATCGAAAAATAGTCAAAACAGAATTAAGAGTACAAAGAGTCAAACCCACCTTATTATACGTTATTTAAGACAGATGAATAAATAGGAATGCTGGTTTACACTTCACTGTTTTGTCTGAAGGGCTGGCATTTCCCCTAGAGCTAGATCACTTCCAAACAGGCTAACAAAAATCAAATTTTGAACCAATAAAATTGAGGGCCAGTACCAAGACCGGTGAGCTAAGGTACTGTTCTTACAGGACTACATAAGTCTCAGTGGCCAGCTGGCCTCTCCACAACCACCCCTTCTCACCACATTTCCTCTAAATACAATAAGCATAGGCTAGATAAATAGGTATTGAACAAACAAAATGTTTCACTGAAGCACAGAAACAATTTAAAATGCTTACCTCTAAGTCATTGAAAAATAGATGTGTATCAGCCACTTCAAAAATCATCTCTTCCATTGTTAAACCTGAGCCAATCACTACTGTTGGATCCTAGAAGACAATAAGAGAAAAATCTGTTTAATTTGGTACTAACAGTTGCACAGGTTCCAATCTTATAAATATTTCGGAGTTATTCTGGGTCAAGGCCAAAACAACACAGGCCTGCAAAAGTGCTTCTAACTGTTACTTATGCAATTTCATTCAGTTAGAAGAATCTGGGATTGTGCAAAGTTAAAAATTTCAGGACTTAGTTTTTAGAAAACTAAACACACTTAAAAAAAAAACAATTTGGGCGGAAATTCCCTGTTTTGTGAGAAATGCTAACTATTGCTAAAATATTACTATTGTAATACCCATTAGCTCCCTTCAGCCTCCCCGCCATGTGTGCACGCACACACACACACGCACACACAGCATGACACCGGAAGTCAGTTATCTGACAATCTCAACAGCCAGGAAATAAGTGAAGAAGGCTGAAGAGTCAAAATATTTGTGGGAAAACCAATGCATCTAGCTTTAAAGTGAACCATCAGGTCTTCACTTGGAGGAGGTACACTCTTATTTTATACACTTTTATAATCAGCTTATTCAGTGTATGAGCTTATGTCAGCTTACCAGCCTAGATACTAAAAGCCTGTGGAAAGTACTTTTAACAGAAACATTAATACAATAAGAAATAAATGGGAACAGTAAGAAAGCAAAGGAGGTAGATATTTTTATAAAATTTATTCACAGAAACTGAAAAACAGAAGCCTGGAGATAATTTAGTATAGAAATATATAGCTTATCCCTCTATTAAAGCTGATGTTTAGGGGCGCCTGGATGGTGCAGTTGGTTTAAACGTTCAATTCTCGGTGTGCAGTCTGCTTGGGATTTTCTCTCCCTCTCCCCTTGCCCCTCCCCCATGCATGTGTGCTCTCTCACTCTCTCTCTCAAATAAATAGATCAATCTTTTTTTTTTTTTAAGATTTTATTTATTTATTTATTTGAGAGAGAGAGAGCAGGAGAGGGGGGAGGGTCTGAGGGAGAAGCAGACTCCCCGCC